GATATTGTATCTTCCGTGGGCATAACGGACGAGCCCTGATCTAAAGATCGGGGAATTTCAGACTGTACTTCAAGTGATAACTTCTGCTCTGATCCTTGCACCCACCCGAATGTTGGCTCTGACGCGGCCTTTAGGGGAGGGTCAAATCGAATAATGGCACCATCAAATGCTGACACCGTTGTCTGAGTATCAGCCTTCGGGAGAACCATTCCATCTGTCAGAGGTCCCGACAGCAACCCCTTCTCTGAACCAGGGCTACCATAGATTACCTTTATACGCTCGGCTAGCGCATCCTTTGCAGCCGCGGTGTCAGCACCGAATTTTAACCCATCCTTCTTCTTTGATGCGTCAGCCATGAAGGGATAGACCTTGATTGACCTGACAGCTGACTTTTGCAATGGTGGAGGGGCTGCTTCGACGCGGACAATGCCACCTACCATGCCCTCAGCACCTAGAGCGGAGCACAGTAGCGTAGACATAGCCAAGTGCTCACTGTGCGGAGCATCTACCCACGGAAGCAATTTAGCAACGAGTTTTGTGGTGGGCGCACCAGCCTCGTTTGACTTTTGTTCTGCTTGATTCAATTGCTGTTGAGGGTCAAGCGGAGGTTTCAGGCCGGAAGGTTGGACGATGGTGATGCAGGCCCAGCTGGCTCCACGAAGTTCGTTTGACGCAAGAATATCGGGCTCTACCCAAACGCGGAAGCCCTTGTTGATATCATCTTCCGACTCTCCATCAAAGTACTGCTCAGGCCATTGTCGATCAATACCTCTGAAATAAAGACATCCTCTGCTTGTCGAGTCTGATTTACTCTTTGTCCGCACGGCGCTTCCGCTACTCCTCCCCCCGACACTTCTCCGGCTGCTCCCAGTAACACTCCTACTATCACCTCGGGATCCTCTTGTATTCTTGGGACGCACTTTCGGAGCAACAATAACCTCCGCATCGGGTGCTATCTTAGCGAATGGGGAGGTGTCCGATGGCGCCGGCGTAAGAGACGTGATGACAATATTGGCAGTGGATGTCGGGGAAAGATGCAGCGCAAGAGGATGCATATGGTCTGGTTGACCCGTGCTGTATGTTGGGTTTGGGAGAGCCCGAATCTGAGAAAGAAGATTAAGCTCTAGAAAAGTTGCGTGCAACTCAATGACTATAGCCGGGATGAGTCAGTAAATGCAAGCTCAGTATTGTCCAAGGTGAACACCATACTTTCCCAGTCCTCAGGAGTTAGAGGCTCTATATTGATGGTATGCGCTACCGGAGGGTCCAAGTGAATGAATATTCCGACCTAGCACCGTATTAGAATACCTAGACATATAGCGTAGTATTTGATGTGCGTAGCGTACTCTTTGTCCTTCGGTAAGACCCAAGACTCTCCCAAATGTGGTATCTAATTCGACAGTAGAGATATCCTGTTCTCTAGAGGAGGGACCGCTATTGATGCCATCCTTTCCAACAACTGGCGCAAGCTTCCGCTTGCTTGGCATCCCCGTCCACCCCAGATAGCATGATCGTTGTGTCGAATTGCCGCTGGCCTTTCCGGATGTAGGTCGGTATTGCAGCTCGACAATCACATTTTGTGCAGCCTAATAAAGAATTAGATTTTTTTTCGAAGCCAATTGACATCCACAATAGATGACGAGCTAGCTTACAGTGTTGGCATTGACGAGAAGTGCAACCAGCGATGGCGGCAGGTTTACTAGACAGTTCTTCAAAGGCACGAGGGCAACCTCGGCTGTGGTAGAGGGTTTCTTGGGCGCCATTCTCTGGCGCTGTGAGGGTATATTCGTTCTCTTTAAAAGCAGCGGAGAGCTCTTGGAGAAGAGAGAAGACCGCAGCTCATTATGTCCCCGGACATCGACTCCGCAATCAAGCGCCCGCCATGCGCCGTTCGCCGAGCCGGCCGGCCCATAGATCTCGGACCGAGGCTTAATCCGCTCCGATACACGTGCATATATCACTAGTTCTTTTTTGGTCTAGTGCAATATAAGGAATGGAAACGCGTTGGTTTCGTGTCGCGACGTGTTTTTGCGCCTCAGGTTGCTGGGCCTAAGGTTGCTGGGGCTCTGAATTTGATCCACTACCAACTTCTCCGAGAAATCACCAAAAGTCCGCCCGCCGCTCCCTTCTGCGCCCCCCCGATCGATGCGAGTCTAGTACTGCCGCCATTCGCATCACTTGCCAGTTAATTTGTCAACTAAACTGGCTCATCCCATTGTCGCATCATGGCTTTGCTTCAGTACCACGCTCCTGTTGACTATGCGGCGCAATTGGACGCCTTTAAGGATTTCCTCACGCACTTCAAAACATTCGAATCAGCTTCTGCATCCGCGGCAACTGAGGCTATTGAGGACTTGCACATTGATGGAGACCGCACCAGCGATGAATATGACTTTATGGATGATGCGGAAGATGAGAATGGAGCTCAGAGAGAAGGATCCGGCCGTAGGCGCCGCGAACCAAAACTGAAGTATATGCAGATGCTCCAAGATGTGGCAGATCGCGAGCGCACAAATATCCTGATCGAGCTTGATGATCTAGCTACAGTGAGTACTCGACCATTCTGTTACTCGACACAGTGACTGACTTTATGGCAGTTCGAGAAATCACTCCCGGAGGACACAGACCTTAAGCTTGTTGAATCCGTGCAGAAGAACACAAGGCGCTATGTTGATGTTCTTTCACAAGCTGCCGATGCTGTCATGCCCAAGGAAACTAGGGAGATCACGTATGTGGTGAAACCGAATGCTTAGGCGAACCCAAGGCTGATCGAATACAGATTCAAGGATGATGTACTTGATGTTATCATGTCCCAGCGTGAAAAGCGGAACGAGGCCATGACCATGGCCATGGAAGCCGACATGGACACAGCGGCAGCGCCCTCGATCTTCCCCCCTGAATTAACCCGCCGATACACCCTGAACTTCAAGCCAATTACTCCTTCCGGATCGAGCAGTGAACGCGAATCCAAAGCCCTTGCGGTTCGAAATGTACGAGCAGAGCATCTTGGTGGCTTGATCACTGTCCGGGGTATCACTACTCGTGTTTCAGATGTCAAGCCAGCCGTCCAAATCAATGCCTACACTTGTGATCGCTGTGGATCTGAGGTCTTCCAACCAATCACTACGAAATCATATCTTCCTATGACAGAATGCATGTCAGATGAGTGTAAACAGAACAATTCTAAGGGACAGCTGTTCTTGTCTACTCGTGCTTCGAAGTTCGTTCCTTTCCAAGAAGTGAAGATTCAGGAGATGGCAGATCAGGTTCCCGTTGGTCATATTCCACGTACCATGACTGTTCACTGCCATGGCAGCCTGACACGGCAACTGAACCCTGGTGATGTGGTTGATATTGCAGGAATCTTCCTTCCCACCCCGTACACGGGATTCAGAGCCATTCGTGCTGGATTGCTGACCGACACCTACATGGAGGCTCAGCATATTACGCAACATAAGAAGTCCTACAACGAACTCGCAATGGACAGCCGGACTCTTCGCAAGATCGAACAACACCAGAAGTCTGGGAACATGTATGAGTACCTGGCTCGCTCGATTGCCCCTGAGATCTACGGCCACCTTGACGTGAAAAAAGCCTTGCTTCTTTTGCTCATTGGAGGTGTCACGAAAGAGATGGGTGACGGCATGCACATTCGTGGTGATATCAACATTTGCTTGATGGGTGATCCTGGTGTTGCCAAGTCTCAGTTGCTGAAGTATATTGCTAAGGTTGCACCTCGAGGCGTGTACACTACTGGCCGAGGAAGCAGCGGCGTCGGTCTCACGGCTGCTGTGATGAGAGATCCTGTGACTGATGAGATGGTATTGGAGGGAGGTGCATTGGTCCTGGCGGATAATGGCATTTGTTGCATTGATGAGTTTGATAAGATGGATGACTCTGACAGAACTGCCATCCACGAAGTAATGGAGCAACAGACGATTTCAATCTCCAAGGCAGGAATCACAACCACTCTCAATGCCCGCACGTCTATCTTGGCGGCTGCCAACCCGCTCTACGGGCGGTATAACCCACGTGTTTCTCCGGTCGAGAATATCAACCTTCCTGCCGCTTTGCTTTCACGTTTCGATGTCATGTTTCTTATTCTCGACACTCCTTCGCGCGATGCTGATGAAGAACTGGCACATCACGTCACTTACGTCCATATGCATAATAAGCACCCAGAAAATGAAGATGCGGGTGTCATGTTTACCCCTAGTGAGGTTCGCCAATACATTGCGAAGGCACGTACCTACCGGCCCGTCGTTCCTGCATCCGTTTCGGACTACATGGTTGGTGCATATGTAAGAATGAGGAAGCAGCAGAAGGTCGACGAGAGCGAGAAGAAGCAGTTCTCTCATGTTACTCCACGTACTTTACTGGGCGTTGTTCGTCTTTCTCAGGCCCTCGCTCGCCTTCGCTTTAGCGAGGAGGTTATTCCGGAAGACGTGGATGAGGCACTACGTCTTGTTGAGGTCAGCAAGGCATCTCTGTCTAACGATGGCCAGGGAACTGCGGATCAGACTCCCAGCAGCAAGATTTACCACCTCATTCGTTCCATGTGGGAGAGCGGTGCGGCAGCCGTGGGCGAAGATGGCGAGCTCAATATGCGGAGGATCAGAGAACGTGTGCTTGCCAAGGGCTTCACTGAAGATCAACTCACGATGACCATCGACGAGTATGACCAGCTAGGAGTAAGTATTTCTAATAAAACCCCAAAATATTTGGTTTTGACAGTGCTAACATGATATTCTCTCAGATCTGGCAAATTAATGGCAACGGCACACGTCTGATGTTCGTTGGTGATGATGCGGGAATGGATATGTAAAGAAGGGTGTTTCACCATAGTTCTCATCGAAAAAGAATCTCTAATGTTTACTTGCCATGAGTTAATCGGGGCTAATCACGTCTTACCATTTTTGCCTATTGTTCCGAATTGATGATTCTTCCAGAGGCTAGATTTGGCACGGGTGTTATGGTGCATAGTGTTTCTCAATGGAGTCCGGGAACAATATATACCTCATTATGATTTCCAATAGAACCAGTGGAAACAGAATCACTATCTCGATTAGAGCTCAGGTTCAGGAACGGCAAGCTGAAGCTATAGCGCTAAAGCTCAACAAAGGAATGTAGATCAACCCTGACAACAGCCATCCATATCAAATTACCAATCATGTACGACTTCATCACCCTCAACCACCCCATTATCTACCTGCATAGTTACCGGTTCCCACCAACCATAATCAATTCAAGAGTCTCTTAAACCTCGCATCTATTCTGAATCGGCACTTCAGCACACAGATTCGGGCCCGCTCCGTACGGGTTATCGCAGAGCGTATTACACTCAGTTGACTCCGGAGTAAACACCAGGAACTGGTAATTGGGCACGTTCAAGCGGAACTGTTTGGTGATATCATTGTTGTCCTTCGACGCCTTGTAACCCGCGCGACAGGCACAATGGAACCGGGTGCCCGTGTTGATGCACGAGGTCGTGATATCGCAGTTGTTTTGGCCCGACAGAGGGTTGCAGGTGCCGCAGACAGGCCTGGTGGGATTGGCGAGGACAAGAGAGGAGGTCGCTAACAGGAGGGTGGTGAGAATGGAGAGGGTTTGCATAGTGGTGGTCAGGTATGCGTTATCAAGGTAGAACTAAGACGAGTATAGAGTGTAGTTTGAGAAGTGGACTTTGGTTATGAGCTTTCACTGAAGATTGAGTGCTTTGCTTGCTTGCCTGATGCTCTGTTTGTGCTTGAGTTTGCTGGTTCCCATTGCTTCTTATATATCTTTTGTTTCTTCTATTTTGGGACTATACCACGGGGGCGGATGGCCCGGTATGAGGAGGTTGGAACCCAGCCGCAGTTAGTTAGGCCTCCAAGTACTACCTTGGAAAAGGATGAAGGCGATGACACTATCTTCCAATACATGTCTCTCAACGCAGAGCCTTTTCCTCTAGAGAGTGTCAGGCTCGGTAATTGAGTTTGGGAGCCACAAACTGGCGGCTTTGGATACGAGCTCTGGAACATGGGACAAAGGAACCAGTGCCATGGTGTCGAGCTAAACGATCGTGGCATTCACCCGGGGCGATAATGCGGGGGAGAGACTCTTGACTGTGAATCTAGACTTTGTAACTACCAAGCTTTGACTCGGTATTTCTTTGCCGGATACATGTTCCGACATGGTCGTTCTCTAAAAGTGTGGATGACGCAGGTGGCAGGGATATTGATTTGATATGTCACGCTTGAGTTGTTATCACTCTAGAATCCTTTTTTGCAAGATTTTCTTGTTTGTACCGTGGTTGGATAGTTGAAGAAGGCTGCCATTTCCGCACGGGATGTTCGCTTCGCTAGAGATGTTCGTTGCTGCCACTCTCGTATATCGGCGAGGGCCATCCTGGAACATGGCGAATGGTGGCGAGTTCATAACGAGGTATCTGAGTCAATGACTCCTGCTTTTGTATGTACATGGTTGAATATGTCGGTGATTTGGCTCTCCATGCTCTGCTCACCTGACTGACTCTTATCTTCATTGGTTGTCGTTGATGAAAGTACTATTTATAGCTCTAGACGTGAGTATTCTTGCGTGAAGGCTGCCAAACTAAGGCGAGAGGCTAAATTACGATACTCTAAACTCTAACTCATGGGTTATGAAGTGCAACCAAGATGTATGGCTAACGTAATTCATCTATTGCGAGACATGAAGAAAGTCTACAGACGCATCTTCGACTGATCCGGTTCACCGATCAACTCCAGAAAACTCTCATGAACCTCATCAGTGAGGTCACTGGCTTGCATACTCCTGCCTTTCGCCTCAAAGGCGCGGCGAGAACATTCTCTTGTAATCCCGCTGCCTGCCCAGGCAGCAAGCAGCAAGGTTGTTGCCGGGGACATTCTCTTGTCCGCTGACTCAAGCTCGGCCTGTATCTCCTGCTTACCCTGCGCCTCTCTTTGGTTATCCTTCTCACCGGAGTCCCAAAGTCCGTTGTGATAAGCCGCTCGCCACGCCAGCAGCGTGCCCAGCGACCCCGTGAGCGTGTCTCCCTGGCCTCCACTGCGCTTCAATCCGCCGACGACTTCGTTGACGATGCTCGTTACACCGTTTGAGATCACATCGTGAGGTCCCTTCTGGATTATCGTCACGCCACCAAGAGCTTGCGACAATTTCTCACAGGCTTCGGTTTCTCGGCTCGTTTTGTCACCGCTATCTGACTCGATCTGCGTCATGCTAGGAACCTCGATATTCAACGCCTTGGCCAAACGGCTGAACTCGTTAACATTAGGCGTCAAGATACAGTCCTTGTATCCTTTAACAATATCCGGTTGCTCCGTGACAAGTAGCAGTCCGTCGGCATCTAAGACAAACGGTATTGAGCGGGACCGCGCCTCCTTCAAGACTTCCGTGACCACTTTCAGCGTAACCCCATCACGACCCAATCCCGGTCCCACTACCAGAGCATGAAGGCGAGATAACATTGCCACGATGGGACTAGCAAGATTAGGCGCGTCGATCGAATTGGGGTCCTTTACAGACTCGCTACTTGGTAATATAGGATGAACCATCAGGTTCGGAGAATAAGACTTGATGACCTGCATGGGTTGGTGAGTTAAAACATTCAACGCATAAAAAATTCAAGATGACACAGCATAAGCTTACAGTAGCCGCAGACCGCTCACAGATAACATGACTCTGCTCTTTGTCAGGAACCATCGCATGAACAGTGAGATAGATTTAAGACGTCCTACCATATCGCAGCCTACAAAGCTTAGTCAACGTTACCACCCCTCATGACCGTTGTTCAGTCACATACCTAGTCGAGCCGAAGCCATGGAAGAGAAATATGGAGCTCCTGTGTAACTTGACCTCGGTCAATACGACTTGTACGTACTCACGTTGAAGGAGTGGGCATACTCTAGTGATCCTCCAATAACGGCAACACGTCCATGCTGCCCTGTGACTATTATTAATACAGAGCCCTTCTGCTATTGTACGAGAACCTGGATAGCCAACTGTGGAATAAGGTAGACAGACCTTTGTGGAATTTCTCCAGCATAGGCGGCACAATCTTGCGTACCTTACTGAAGAGAATCTTAGGCGAAGTCGTGATATGATGAGCCTCCATGACGGATTATATTACAGAATCTTGCTACTCAATCGGAAAGAAACAATACATGCAAGCAATAGAGGGTATGTTGTTCATGGAGGAGAGAAGATTATGAGAGCAAGAGGGGAGGTGCAAGAGAAGCAAGCAATAAGAGGACTATGTCCTGTGATGTCACCGCCTACTAAGTGGGGCTGATCCGGCGATAAGAATCTTGTCCATGGGTTCCAATTCTCTCAATAATTAAGCATAAGATGTAAGAATGACGCCTCTCCCCACCTAGTAAACAGACACAAAAACACCGGATAGGGTTATTCCAACGGAAGGAAAAGAAGATAACACTAAAGAGAGCAGCGTTGCCACCCTATCTATCAACACCATGACGCTCGCTAATGCACAGAAGGACTCAAAAAACATATCATAAACAGGAAGTTGCCCTAAAAGAGAAGAGAAAGTAAGAAATAGGGGAAAAGAAGAGATGTCATATGTAATGCACCCTCGGGTATTTCTCGCTGATGCTCCGTTCCAAGCCAAAAGAAAAATGTGCCGAAGAAGTATAACAGATATTACTGACAAAGAAAAAAAAATGAAGGGGAAAGACTGCTTTGTAGCCTCAACGTCTTCGGGATGCCAATGTAGAAAGCTTCCTGTGGCGCTCCAGCTTTGCTTGCTTGGCTGCAAGCTCCGCACGCCATTCTTCTTCATCCTCCTTCCTTGCAACTGCCAATGCGGCTGCTTCTTCCTCCTCCACATCGTTAAATCCGCCTTCCATATCCGATGAGGCATCTGAGTAGTAATCATCGTAGTCGTCTGCATATTCTCCCTCGTCTTCCTCGTCTGTTCCAAGATATTCGTCCATCCTAGATCGTTTGCTCGCTCGAGCCTGTGCTTTCCGATCGATTGGATTGCTTCGAGCGGGTAAACCAGCCGTACCTCTGTATTCCGGTACTGCAGAGGGTGTTGGCCTTGCAGTACCTTTGTACGACAGCTCTTCAGGCTCCCGTTTCCTAGCAGGTTTTTCATCACCGGCTTTGCTACCTGTTGCTGGACCAGACGTGCTGCCGGGTCTCTTTGCCGATCGTGCATCTTTTTCCTTCGCCTGTGCTTCCATTGCTCGTTTCTTGCGTTCCATCTTGCTAAGCTTCTCTTTAGGTACAGCCTGATGCTTGAACATGCCCGCTTGCGTTGGGGCTTTCTGCTGCAGCTCTTTTGCCTTTGCCATAATCTCCGCAAATGAACCCTTCGGGGGAGGCTTGGAAGACACTGGAGCTGCTTTCTGTGGTGCCGTTGACGTTGATGTATTGCTCTTTACGGTGGGCCTCGCAACTGATGTGGTGGTAGAACGGGGTTTAGGGGCCGCAGCCGCAGCCATTGGTCTAGAGAGTGATTGTTTGCTAGATGTCTGGGTAAGAGGCTTCTGAGGACGTTGCAGCAGCTCCTCAGCCTTGCGTTTCGTACCTGCAGCATTACTTGTCCGCTCAGCGACATCACGCGGGGTAGTGCTAGGCCTGCGGGCCTCCGATTTGGCAGTTGATGAGGAGACGGGCGCTGATTGTGTGGTAGTGACTGGCGGTAGGGGAGACGGTTTGCCCGTCTCGATGGATGAAAGAACCGAATCGAGGAACTGCGTCATAAGTCAGCGAAACATCACCAGAATAACGGGATTAGGCACTTACACTCATCTTGACGCCTAAGGCAGGTATAAATGCGCAGGTCTCGGTCGCAGGAAAGAAGTGATGAGGGCAGATTCACCGTCGGTGGTTAGTGTGACGGATTAACTTCATGACTTCTTTTGAGGCAGAACCTGAAGTTTCAAAGCTCGAGACTTCGAGATTAGCCGTCTTCTCACCCTAGCTCAGCAGAAGATGCTGGGTTGAGTCAAAGAAGACGCCGAAGCCCTGGGATACACAGAGAATAGACTGACGAGACCGTTGAGACGAGAGCGCCGGCGGTTTAAATAAGTTACAGCGAGTCGCCATCCTGTCTTCTAGAAGCGGCTGATCACGTGACGGGACCAAGTCATCCGGAAGGAACTCCCTTAGTAAGAATGCTACCCTTCAGGCATTCATGCGCCACAGACTCGCTTAGAGGAGTCTGGGCCACGAGCCACATCCACCAGCCGCAACGCACTTTTCTTGCGATTTTGGCGATCCGAATCTTCGACTTTCCTCCATCCACATCGCTTACCCTCAGCGAACTCGACGTTTCAGTCTCCGCCCAACTTGCGGTTAAATCGATTGATTCTCGTGTTCACATATTAAACAAATCCGTATGTTTTACAACCTGGAGCATCGTGTTGCGATCTTGATGATCTTATTGTACTCAGCTTTCTGACAAAGTTATTCTTATACAGATTCAAAATGAAGTACCTTGCCACTTACCTCCTCCTCGCCCTTGCTGGCAACACCACCCCCTCCACTGAGGACATCAAGAGCGTTCTCTCTTCCGTCGGCATTGATTCCGATGAGGAGCGCCTCCAGAAGCTCATCTCCGAGCTCGAGGGCAAGGACCTCCAGCAGGTTCGTAATGCGCTGGATGATTGAGAAATGCGGGGCGCCTACTGACCATCTACTCACTACAGCTGATCTCTGAGGGTACCGAGAAGCTCGCTACCGTTCCCTCCGGTGGTGCTGGTGGTGCTGCCCCTGCTGCTGGCGCTGCCGCTGCCGGTGGTGACGCTCCCGCCGCTGAGGAGAAGGAGGAAGAGAAGGAGGAGTCCGATGAGGACATGGGATTCGGTCTCTTCGACTAAACGTCTTCACTCGTGCGAGCCTCGAAAAATATGTGATATCTCGTGGGGGAACAGAAATCTGGCAGTCATTTGCAGTATTGGGAAGGAAATGGCCAATTTCGGTCAAGTCTATTTGTCTCAGGCTTCTCTGATGCAGTTACGATTTATGCATACGTGAGCTGAAAAGCTCCTTGATAGCAAATACAGATTATCTGACCCTCCACGAATTGTTCCATATCACGTAAATGCGCGTAAGCCGACTATCTGTCTATCAGTTATGAATAACGGGGCGCGAAATTGTATTACGCGCATTAATTACATATCAGAAACCTAGACACTTGTATCCATAAGCCCCAGTTAATCAGAGCCATAAATCGTCTAGTTAAACAGCCAATGAAAACGGCCGTAATCGCCAACATCTATTAAGATTTCCTGATAGGGAAGTACATTGTAGGGCTAACGGCATATAACCCTACAGCCAGGAATCCACAACGGGCCTAGTTTCTAGGTCTACAACCCTAGCCGTCGCTTAGACGAATCTCAGCCCACCTCCCAACCGCAGCGTCGAGCACAATAGTTGGCCCGACGAACGTTCATCAGCGACACGACACGACAACCCACTGTCCCTTCGCTTTTCGAGTGCTGTTCGAAAAGCGACCTTGAGAGGAACACCCGCAAAAATGGCTGACAACGAATACGTGAGTGCATATCCGTCTGGCATGAGTAATCTTAGTTGAAAGACTTTTATACTAACGTGTACATATATTAGAACGCTGAGGAGGCTGCCGGTACGTTATCGAGAAAATCCTTTCCCTTCCCTGTTGCGCGATGGAGGAATACAAGCAGTTATGTGGGATTTGTTTACGATGGGGCATACGGATATTTGGATATAAATGGATGAGCTTTGGAACGAAGGAGCGAAAATGAATCCGGCGAACGCGATGCAACGGGAAATCACCGAGGAATCAATCGAACAAGGCGCTGACTGGTTATCGGTTTACAGCTATCAAGGCCAAGAGAACCTTCCGCAAGTTTTCCTACCGCGGTATTGACCTCGACCAGTATGTGACAACTTGAAGAAACCCCGGTATCACCTACTCCCGACTCCGAACGAGCGATATGACCGATGGCATCTCAGATACGATTGTTTATCCTCGTGGGAGTCGGGTGTAACGGATGGAAATGTTTGCAAAGGCGCTGTTTCTGACATGGACGTACTACAGGCTCCTCGACCTCTCTTCCGAACAGCTCCGCGATGTCGTGCACGCCCGCGCTCGCCGTAGGTTCAACCGTGGTCTGAAGCGCAAGCCCATGGGCCTCATCAAGAAGCTCCGCAAGGCCAAGCAGGAGGCTAAGCCCAACGAGAAGCCCGACCTCGTTAAGACTCACCTCCGTGACATGATCATCGTCCCCGAGATGATCGGCTCCGTTATCGGTATCTACTCCGGTAAGGAGTTCAACCAGATCGAAGTCAAGCCCGAGATGGTTGGCCACTACCTTGGAGAATTCTCCATCTCCTAGTACGTTCCGCCTCCGCTTAGATCCTATTTGCGTCAAAAGATCGTAATCTAACAACCACACAGCAAGCCCGTCAAGCACGGTCGTCCCGGTATCGGTGCCACCCACTCTTCTCGTTTCATTCCCCTCAAGTAAAGAAGAAAAGCTTTCTGGAGTGTCGCGTGGAGGATTGGGCGTCCGGTTGTGTTGGGAGAAGAAATCAAAAGCGATGGATACCATTTATGTCTATTTGGGTTCATCCAACTTGTATGTCAAGTGCGGGTCAGCTGTTTGCATCTCAATATAAAGGTCTTGTCGGCATGTGAACGAACCACGGATTCCTACTCCGATGACAAGGAGATCTTCAGTCCTTAGCCCTAAAGGGACGAGGCAAGACCACCTGTTCCCTTCCCTATTTACCTAGGGGACGGGGTCTAATTTAACGATTTCTTTTTCTTTCACATCATATGTTATCACTCGTATTTCGTACAACGTCCTTCGCTAAGTCTTGGCCATCGTAGCCCTGGGTCTTGGTAGTATTTGGCATATATACTAGGCATTATGACATGTATCCATTCGATACAGCATTGATTAAGCCTCCCCCATATCGTATTACATACAAGCTACACTTAGACCCCATACTATGCCGGTACCTAAGTCCCCAAGCTAATGCCGGGGCCGACTTGTCCCCAATATATTTAAAGGCACAAATCCCCGCGACAAACCGATCCACATTAATACCTCTTCTCAAGTGCCGTATCGACAAGCAGTTCCATCTTCTCCCACTCCTTCCGTATATCATCTCCGCTATCCTTTAGTTTCTTCTTATCCCCCTTAAACTTCTCATTCACATCATCAAATAACCACCTAATCATCCTCTTAAAGCTCGGCACAGTGCACGCCTCATCCTCTAGTTCCACGAGCCGACTCAAAATAGACCAAGCAAGCAGCATAGGCTCCATTCTCATATCTACCAATCCAAGCAAACTAGTAGCACCCCCATCCGCTCCGTAATCCAAGGAAACCGCCACCCTGGCCAGCGCATACGCATGCAACTGACGAACAGGATGCCGCTCATCCCCATAAACAACAGGATCAACACGAAGATACCGCACAGCAGCCTGTACAAACCCAGAACTGATATCTTGATCAGCCAGCAACGAGGCAATCAGCTCATCTCTCAAAGAGACGAGAGGCTGTTCCGTAACGGGCCAAGCGCCAATCTGCCGTAGAAACTTAACAGACGATTGGAGCCTTTTAGCCATTTTCTTGGGATCGGTTTCCACGGCTGAAGAGCATTCGTTCAGAAGCTCGTAGGCTTCTATTTCTGCGCCTTCTAGGGCGGAAAGGTCATTTTGTGCTTCTGGGCCGAGGAAGCTGTGCTCTGGCTCTGCGAGATCTTTCTCGCATTTGGCGCATTGGCAGTGGAAGTAGTAGCGCTCGCGGAGTTCGGAGCGGCGGAGTTTGACTGGGTTTGTGGCGTCGACGTAGGAGATGAAGATTTGTTCGCCTTTTTGGATTGGACGGGTAGCTTTGATGTATAGGGTGTCGCTGTCGAAGCCGACGGCGGCGTTGTAGTTGCAGCTGTGGTTGATGAGGGCGGCGTAGGGGTGTAGGTAGAGACCGATGCGGTCGGAGAGGATGTTGGTGAAGTTGAAGGAGTTTAATTCCAGCTTGGTAGGTATGTCAGTGGCAATTTAGGGAATGGGGGACGTTGAGAGTTCGGGATGAGATGACATTTGCTCACTTTGGCGCCGAAGGCGGATATCGTTTCTTCCTTCAAGTCTGTTCCGGAGTAGGCCTTGACGGCCTTTGAAGATAAGGCGATACGCTCCCATTGCTCGGGGCTCTGGTCATGGATTTCGGTGATGTGAGTCTCAAGTTGGGAGAAGAGATCTAGTTCCTCGGTGGTGTATTTCTTATGTTCAGTGCGCACGATCATTCGTAGAAGAGCCCGAGCATTGCTCGGCAAAATACGAGGGTTTAGATTCTTGAAGATTGCGCACTCGTGCGCGTGGGCAAACTTCCAATCCTTTCTTTGACATTCCTAGTATAGATATCAGTGATTGGTGTTGATTGGATAATGTGTAGCATGGAGTATAGACCCTGTCACAATACTTTACCACTTTGCATCCAGTACAGTTTTTCAAGGGACCAGTGTGGTGAAAAGGTCCGCTCCCAAGGCATCCTGAGCATGTGTCACTCAGTCGCGGCGTATCTAACACAGCTACATATGGACTGGTAATATTCAAAACATCTTCTCCAACATTAATGGTAGTTGAAGCAAAAAGACCTCTTCCTAAACCACCAGGTGCTGGGCCAGGCGTAGCTCTAGTGTGTACTGAGGGGAGAGGGGTTTCCAGAGGCATTATATCCTGGTCTTATTTGTCAATGATTTCGGACACCGCCAAATGAGTTTTTATATATCCTTACTTCCTTTGGACCCATAACAGAATGAAATAGTAGATACAGCTCAATCAAAGCTAAAAGTGAACTTAGGGCGATCCCGCGATGATTAGTCAGTTCATGTGGTTCCCCAAATAGGGTAATACAAGGTAGTAGTTACAGAGTAGACATAGTAAGGAGAAGAGAGGTACTCCGTATTGACCAAATATTTCAGAGAAAAAAAAATACTATACAGAAGTGAATCATAACGATCAATTCAGAGGAAGCCCACGCGATGCTTTTCTCGCTCACGCACAAAGCCTGCCTACTGGGAGGAATCATAAATAGGTAACAATAACAAAGAGAAACAAGAAGTTCCACCGGGATACAAGAGCATAGCCACCTTTCCCGTCAAAGGTGGCCTGGTCAAGGCCAAATAAAAAGTCTATCAATGTAGAGTAGAGCCTTCTCCACTACGCCAAACCAGACGGCTATTCCGTGCCTCGAAAAAAAAAAAAAAAAGAAAAAGAAACAACATCAGGTAATTACTAAGTTGACGAAAACTTTTGTTTTAAGACCGCAATGCTGATTTACAGATGCTTGCCGCCGGCGAAATCAGACCAGCTGCGGACCTCAGAAGGAATACCCTCGGCACGAGGCAGCTTCTCGCTCATGGCCTGGGCAAAGAGGAGAGCAGTCTGCAAAGAAACATGATTAGCATCAATGAAAAGCAGGCAGATACAATGTGGGTTTAACATACCTTGGTCTCCATGAACAGAGGAACACCGAAGTCAACGGCGTTACGCCTCATGACATAGTCCTCATCAAGTAGGGTCTTGCCCCGGGTCTTAGCAAGGTTAAAGGTACCACGGATGTTATACTTCTCGAACACCTCGCGCAGTGCACGCTTGTCTTTCTTAGGGAACTCAATCACCTGCACGGAAACACTTTCCTTGGCGGTGGACTCGATGTGATCCTTAACAGAGGGGCTAGCGGCGAAGAACTGGTATCCCAATGGCTGAAGATATTCAACAATCTTGGCCAAAGCGGGGTTCTTGATGTCACCACCGAGAAGGATACCCTCACCGGGCTCGGGGACACGGAAGTTCATGGTGGACTGAAGAGATGCCCAGTAGGCGTCAACCAAGTCCTTACCGAAGCAAGCAATCTCACCAGTACTGGACATCTCGACGCCAAGGAACGGGTCAGCACCAGCAAGACGAGTCCAGCTGAACTGAGGGACCTTGGTAGCGACATAGTCACGCTTCTCAGCCATGAGGTCAACAGGCTGAGGAACGTCACGGCCAACAAGGGCCTTGGTGGCAGTATCAATGAAGTTGGTGCCCAGAACCTTGCTAACGAAGGGGAAGGAACGGGAAGCACGCAGGTTGCATTCAATAACCTTCAACTCAGGCTGGGCACCTTCCTGGTCGGCCTTGATGATCTGCATGTTGAAAGGACCGGTGATGTTCCAGGCCTTAGCAACCTTCTCAGCGATTTCCTTGACACGGCCCATGACCGACTCATCGAGATAAGCTGGAGGAAGAACAAGAGTGGCATCACCAGAGTGAACACCAGCTGGCTCAACATGCTCACTGACGGCATGCAACAGGAGCTCACCATTCGAGGCAACGGCATCGACATCGATTTCCTGAGCGCCTTCAATGAACTTGGTGATGACGACAGGGTGGTCAGGAGAGACAGCGCTAGCATTAAGAAGCTTCTCCTTGAGCTCATCCTGACTGTAGATAACGTTCATGGCAGCACCAGACAAGACATAACTAGGGCGGACCAGGACAGGGTAACCAACAGACTCGGCAAAACGCTCTGCATCAGCAACCGAGGTAAGTTCCTTCCAAGCAGGCTGGTCGACACCAATGCTATCCAGGATCGAGGAGAACTTGTGACGATCCTCAGCCTTGTCAATATCAACAGGGTTAGTACCGAGAACCTTGGCACCACCAGTCTCCTGAAGACGAAGGGCAATGTTCTGTGGCAGCTGGCCACCGACAGACACAACGACACCACTGGCAGTCTCGAGCTCGTAGATATCCATGACACGCTCGTAGCTGAGCTCTTCGAAGTAGAGCTTGTCGGCAGTGTCGAAATCGGTAGAGTAGGTCTCAGGGTTGTAGTTAATCATAACAGTCTTCTTGCCCATGTTTCTGAGAGAAAGGGTGGCGTTAACTGCACACCAGTCGAACTCGACGGAGCTTCCAATACGGTAGACACCGCTTCCCAAGATGATAATACCATGGTCATCGAAAGTAACATCATGGGAAGTAGCGTTATAGGTGGTGTATAGGTAGTTAGTGTCTGCAGGGAACTCAGCAGCAAGAGTATCGATCTTCTTCACCCATGGAGTGATGCCAAAGCTCTTTCTGCGAGCACGGACATCGTCCTCAGACGCTCCCACAAGGAGGGAGATCTGCTTGTCAGAGAAACCAAGCTTCTTCGCCTTGAGCATGGTCTCCTTCTGGATGCCGAAGAGGCTGCCAATTTCCTTAATTTCATTTTGGCAGTCAACGATGTTCTGAAGCTTGTAGAGGAACCACTTGTCAATCTTGGTCAGTTCGTGAACCCTATCGACCGAGTAGTTCTCGTGGAGCATAGCCTGGCCGACTGCCAACCAACGGCGATCGGTAGGGTTCTGCAAGACCTCGTCCAAGTTCTCGAACGTATCACCCTGGAAACCAAGGAACCGAGGGTCAACCTGACGGATAGCCTTCTGGAAAGATTCTTCGAAAGTACGACCAATGGCCATGACCTCACCAACCGACTTCATAGCGCTTCCAATGTCACGGTTGACATGCTGGAACTTGCTCAAATCCCACCGGGGGATCTTAGTAACAATGTAATCCAAACTAGGTTCGAAATTCGCGGTGGTGGTCTTTGTCACAGCATTGGGCAGCTCGGGCAGAGTATGGCCCAGACCGATCTTCGCAGCGGTGTAGGCAAGAGGGTAACCAGTAGCCTTAGATGCCAAAGCAGAAGAACGCGAGAGACGAGCGTTGACCTCGATCACACGGTAGTCCAAGCCATCGGGTTGCAAAGCATACTGCACGTTACATTCACCAACGACACCCAAGTGGCGGACGATCTTAATGGCAGCGGTACGAAGCATGTGATACTCCTCGTCGGACAAAGTTTGACTGGGAGCAACGACGATACTGTCGCCAGTGTGAATACCCAGGGGGTCAAAGTTCTCCATGTTGCAAACAGTGATACAGTTGTTGTCAGCGTCACGCACAACTTCATACTCAACCTCCTTCCAGCCACGGAGGGACTTCTCGACCAGAATTTGTGGAGCAAGGGTCAAAGAGCGGGATGCCAGGTTCCTCAATTCCTCGGGGTTGTTGGCAAATCCAGAGCCCAAACCACCAAGAGCATATGCGGAACGAACGATAATGGGGTAGCCAACTTCCTCGGCGGCCTTCAAAGCCTCGTCAACAGTGTTGACAGCAATAGACTCGGCAATGGGAATGTTGATCTCGTTCAGCGCCTTGGCGAAAAGATCACGGTCCTCACTGGTCTCCAGAGTCTTGATGCTGGTTCCCAAAACCCTCACACCATAACGTTCAAAGATACCCATACGGTTCATCTGCACACCCAGGTTCAGAGCGGTCTGACCACCGAAGGAAAGGAAGATAGCGTCTGGTCTTTCCCTCTCAATGACGTACGTGACATATTCAGGAGTAACTGGAAGGTAGTAAACTTCATCTGCAAGCTTGTGATCGGTCTGGATCGTTGCGATATTAGGGTTGATCAAAACGGACTCCACTCCAGCTTCCTTGAGAGCCTTCAGAGCCTGAGAGCCTATAGCATTCGAAAACCAGCATTAGTTACCATTATTGAGGTACAATAACCCAACCGTTCCGACTGTATCCCGGTCGCCGCTGCGCTCATTTCCAACCATTTGGTACAACTCCCTCGTGCCACGATTTGATAGGTAATTGCACGAGGGTAGTGGTCACTCAATTGGTACAATGAATAGACGACAGTCGAAGCCGTATTGAATGATAAACGTATACTGAGCTTTATGACTTACCAGAATAGTCAAACTCTCCAGCCTGTCCGATACTCAGGCCACCACTACCGATCACAAGGACCTTCTTCACATCGACCAGATTGCGACCTGGCTTTACGATGCCACTGGCAAGGTAGCTCTCAGCGGAGGGGGCATTTGCCGACTCCGACGCCAGGCGGCTAATAGCACTAGAGAAGGAGCGAAGCTGCTGTGGTCTCCATGGCGAAGGGGTCTTCTGCTGCAATCGCAAACTTGATGCGGCCGAGTGGGCAGTAGTTTGGGAGGAAAATGGGCGCAGAGCAAGTGTGGATCGGCGAGATTCTGCCAGACAACGCTGACGCAGAAGGGAGGCCGTGGCCTGCCCGCAACGAGTAGTGAGAACCATTGCGCACGGCGCTGGTATGGGAAGGGGAATAAAGAATGGGGAATCTAAGAGTCAATTCCCGGAAATACCCAGGGAAGACGATGTATAAACTCTACTGCCGTTTCGCTGTATGAGTCTGCCTATTTGGCACCCTGTTATCCCGCTTTATGCCACACGCCCAGTACACAGGGGAGGACTAAACGAAGAACGGGATGAATGGCCAGGGAGTTGGGGGAGAAAATGGAGTAGTCAGAAGGAAAGAAGATAAAGAAAGGACGGAAGGGAAAAAAAAGGTTAAAAAGGTCTTGGTAGGGCGATGAGTCAATGCACTACAGTGAGAGTAGTTCTGGAGACACCAAAAACCAGGATAGACGACATGGAACCCCCGAAAACGCGAAAATGCCCCAACCTCCAAGCCGATAAGAGCTCCGGTGTGCGGAGCCATCAGCTTTTTTTTGCCCTTTTTCTCTGGTTCTTTTCCCCATCGGGATGCGGACGAGTCACCGCCTGATAATGCCGCCAATCAGCGCTCCGTACTCGGGCTGCAGGAAGTGCAGGAGATCATAAAGACCAGAGCTGCAAAGACACTAGACTCTCTAGTTCCTGACGGCGCTAACCATTTTCCGCCTAGTTGTATGAGTCAATGGCCTACGATGGAGAACCGGGTATGGGGTCTCTGGATCTTTGAATAATGATAACTCATAATGCCGTCTGAAATGTTGGAGATTATAATCTATCATGACCCATTGGAATTGATCTTCACCATCAATGGTTTGTTTTACCAGCCAAATCCTCCGTCAATGGCTCTGAAAATCATGGTCCATGGCTGCAAATCCTCTCACAGAAAAATTTTTTAGACTAAACTGCAGATCAGCCCTCTTTGCAGGATTCTATCAGTTGAATGGTGTCTCCGCTACAGAGCGCTCGCTACCGCGCTAATGGCAGCTAAGCACGGGAACACCGGCATTCGGAGTCCCCACGTTATCTTTTGGAACCAATGTTGGCATCCAACATTGCCGGAAGTACATCCCTGCAATTATTTCCCATCGAATCATGATTTCTTGACAAGATAAGATGTACTTTCTTAGTTCAGGGTTGTGACTAGCTTGTTCCATCTACTAGTAATGGCTCTATCATTCCGTAATTCCTATTTGTCCGTCAAGCCTAGTCCATGGTCCTTTAGCCCTTGGTCTTGTGCGCGATTTGGATGACTCTGCCTCATCTTGATCTACCTTGTGCCGCAAAGCCTCCTCTAGGTCCTGGTTCAATATATCGTAAACTTCTTGCAAGGCCTGCTCCGCATCTTGGGCGGTTTCGATACCTTCTTCCAGGCTGTGTTCCACATTTTCCCGTTCACTCGTCCCTGCCGCTTCCGACGCAAAGGCCCATGCTTGAGCTAGTGCAACAACCTCATCAGGTTTGGCTGGCTCCACCGGCGTAGTGGCATGACGAGCGTTTATAGCCGCAGCCGCATGTCTAAATCGTGGCTGCCGAGCAAGCATAGGGTACTCCGGAAGAAGATGACTTTCATCCCTCAGCCGATTCAAGATGCGTAGAGTCGTGGATTTTTCTTTTGCGAGAGTTCCAGTCAGATAGAATTTTTGCAAAGCTAGTGCCCGTTGGCACTTCGAAAGTGGGAGGAGTTGTTCATCCGCGAAAGATAGGACATCCACTGGCTCTAAGGTTGGCGTCTCCTCAGGGGTAATTTTTTGTTTCTCTGTGGGGCGACTTGCAGGTTGCACAGGGCTGGTGCCGATGGGCTGGCATGCCCTAGAAGCTGCATCGAGAAGACGCTTGCGAGCATCGACGTAGGCGGCATACTGTTCTGCGATCTGTGCTTTCTGATCTTCCAGTAATTGGGCTGACTTCTCGATTTCTTCGGGAGACAACTCCTGCACAGGACCATCCTCGTTGTTCCCAACATTCGCCAATTTTTCCTCGACCCATTGTACCAAGACATCTCGGGTTTGCTGTAGCGCAGTAACCTTTGCGCCAGAGTCAATACCATTGTTGTCAGAACCATCCTCGGTATCATGCTGCGCCTTCAGCTCCTCGAGTAGTCTCTTTTCTCGCTCTAGTTGATTTCTCGCGCGTATCACGGCCCTTTCAAGGTTATGCATCAAGCTCTCAATTCCATTTTCGGAGGTGCATCCATTTTGACCTTCTTCCAAATCTGGTGGCAGGGAAAACTGTTGGCTGCGATTTCCTATAGTATCGAAGTCCTCTGGTTTGATTATATCTCGTTTCTTGAGCTCTTCCAAGTAACGCTGAAAGACTTGGAGCTTCGCGTGCCGGCGACGATCACGGAGCAGTTCGAGATAAGCTTGGAGTTCTGAGTTGGGATCAACAAGGTGTGTGTCGACGCCACCAGTAGGTTGACCCTGTGGCTTCCCGGAAGTATACCTCTCAGACACCAAACGGTATTCCTTCCTTGCATTCACATTTGCCTGCAATGCCTGTAGATATTCCTTTCTTAGTCCCGTCAATTCTGGCGGAATACGCTTCACATCGACAACGGCATCTTGAGGTACACATAAAGAGAGATGGGATCGGGCATGGACATTTGGGTGATCGGGATTATCATCGGCAAACGTAATTTGTGATCGGAGGTAGGAGGTTAGGACCTGTCGGATGCGTAGGGCTTCCTGGCGACTTTTGATGTAAGGAGCAAGCGGTTTAGCGAAGGCAGGAATGTGCGCAGGGATAGCGGAGTCGTCATTGTTATGGGCCATGGATGGGCGTCGGTATGGGCGGTGGAGGTCCAGCGCCGTAATCTGAAACGTCAAGGTGAAAACCAATTCCTATCGATGGTCCTCTGATATGGTATTCAATACCCCGGATTCAAGTTGTTTGTTTCTCTTGTTTGTTTGATGATCCCACTGGACATTAGGTAAGCCTATGGCCCGCCTGAGGATCCACGTGACTTGGTGTCAGCCAAGGTTTCGGATGTTGTTTTCTGTACGGAGTATAGAGTGACAGTACACATTCGTACCTACTCCGTGGATTTATCGAAATGTATGAGATAAATGTGGAGCGATACTATATGAGACGAATTGTTCTAAAATAAGAAGCCTTCCTACCTCGCAGATGTGGTGCAGTTGGTTTCAACATGATTGAGGCGGGAAAAGCAGCCAAAAATATATATACATCGACAGATTTGAGAACCACCCACTTTGGCTGTCTAATATTAGCAGTAGATTATATTGGATACCACTGTGCCCCTCTTCTAGCCATTCTGTCAGCGATCATGTAGTACGTGACTGTAGTAGACAATGGGTGCGCTGCATGTTAGTGGATTCTGTACTACCCAACCAAAACCAAAGATACCCAGGTTCGGATCTTCGGGCAACGGTTTCAAGGATCCTTAACCCTGTCAGTCATTTCATTGTTTAGCGTCAATGGGTGATTAAGTAAAGCTTCGGTTTCGGAGAAGAAATCTAGGATAACTGACTCTTACACGAACAGAAACCAAGGACTGGCCCTTCTTCCATCATCCTTATTGCATTGTTGATAGGTCTCATGCATGCACACTGTTTGTTGCTAAGGTATTTGGCTGGGTATTATTATTATTATTTTTTTCTTTTGCGGTTCAAAGAGTGGCCCTTGGGTTTGGTATGCTTTGACCCTTTGGATTCTCAATCAAGGGGGGAGGGGATTTCTCTTGTCGTCAACTTTCATATATAGTCAGTCAACTTACTCTTTACTTCTCGGACGTTCTACTTTAACGAATTCATCGCTCATATTATCCTCTTTTAATCCAACCCCTCAACCATCTTGTGATCCATCACAATTCTCCAAAGAATGGCACCAGAAGTGGCCTCCGCGCCCATTTCAACTCCAAGATCACGGCCTCGAGCTGCAACGGCGATGCAACCAGCCACTACACCGCCAGCCATATCTTCTCGACGTCCGTCGCAAGTAATGAGTCCGCCCGCTCTCCCACTTGCGCCGGTTGCATATACAGGGAGTTCTGGACCTGGAGGCAATGATCAGGGCAGTGTGAGATCGGCCTCCGGTAAGCTGCCACTTTCGTCTTTAGATTGAGACTCTCGAGCTGAACTACTTCCAAGGTCCATTGAGACACCCAAAGCCTCTTACGCCGTCAGACATCCACTCAATGCTTGAACAAGAACAAGAGGCGATGGTATTATTTCTGGCAGCCCACAAGGTCGCATATCCATACTGATCTGAGCTCCAAAGGTTAACCGTCTGTCAAGAGAGCTGTCTCTCCTCCGACAACAAACAGCTTCTGTGGCATCGACAACTTCCTCTACATCTACCACCTTCAATGACCAGTCAGATGCCCTGCAAGCCTCCTCTTACTTATCTTCCTCAACGCATCCTACAGCATCACGGCGTCACCGTTCCTCGTCAAGCCTGAGCTCCTCATACATCCCAGCCGTCCAGGGCTCAAGAATAGGAAGCGGTGCTGGGATCATTCCATCGCGAGATGTTCCTTTATCGTCTTCCCGTCCGGGTCGGAGTCGAGAGCCGTCCTTCACCTCTCCGCGACAGTCAGAAGGAACACTACCACTATCTCCTGCATCAGCACAGCAGTCACAAAGTGATCCATTCTCGAACTATGTCTCCGGATCGCATCCGTACCCCCACCGTAATTCGCTCTCTCAACAACGGTCACGAACTACTTCTATATCCCGCCCGGATGAGATCACACGACAACGTGGGGAATTGGAGATACTAAAACGGGAAAACGAAGGGCTCCGGCGCCGTGTTCGAGATCTTGAACTCGTTCTTCGAAAACATCGTGAACGGGATCCGATTGTGACAGATCAAGTAGCATCCGGAACCATTGCCGCTATTACAGATGAATTGAACAAAGCATCTGTAACAAAAGTGGATGATACCAATTGAGGCAGCAAAGAGACCGTATTATTATTGAGTGATTATCTGTTTAGTTAGGCAGGAAGAGTCCTAGATGGATTCAGGAATAGGTAATGGTTGTCGATAAGTGCTAAGAAATTGTCTACTCGTTTTCGCTCGCATTCTTACCCTTTCTTTCACCTCAATTGGCCTTTAGCCGCCGATCCGTGATTCAAAAATAGCCATCCTAGCGTTTCTTACGGAAAATACTTCTGCCTTCTAGCACCAGCCATCCACATCATAATTACTTGCCGTCACATGTTGATGACGACTCCCCACTGTGGCTGTGCAACGTGCCCCTCTCCCACACGTCATCTGTGGCTCGACTGCACCGCTGAAATAAATACTCCTGAATTGTTCTTCCCAGCGCAATTATTTCTATACCTCTCTATCATTTCAATTGTACCCCTCTTGATATACCGATCCTAATATATTTTCTACCGAAATCAACATTCCCTCGTTATCATGTCTGAACGCAGCACAGTCCATGTCTCGGGCATTGCGCCCGCCACCTCTGAGAAAGAAGTCCAGGACTTCTTTAGCTTCTGGTAGGATCACACTGCTTATGTCTCCAGGCCTTCAACGTGACTGACTGTTATATAGTGGCAAGATCACCTCCATCTCCGTGACCCCAGTTTCTGGTGAGCCAGATGCTCCCAAGTCCGCAACAGTGACTTTTGAGAAAGAAGCGTACGTCTTACCCCGCACTAACTCGTTGGCTCTTATAGTCGGCCCATGCGAGCATTGAAAGATAACTTTGAATGAAATACACTAACTATGGTGTTAGAGCTGCCAAGACTGCCTTGCTCCTGGATCAGACTCAGCTGGGAGGTTCTGCAGTGCACGTACAGGCTGCCCAGACTCTCGACGACATCGCCGGTTCCCAGGCCGCCAGTGCAGCAGAGGCCAGGGACGAGAACCACCATGAGATTGCGCAGGAAGACAAGCCCAAGTCCCGAATCTTCGCCGAGTACCTTGCTCACGGCTATGCACTGAGCGACAACGCAATCCAGAAGGCTATTTCCCTCGACCAGAAGCACGGCTTCTCCAACCGCTTCACCTCTGCTCTGTCCAACTTTGATCAGAAGTACAAGGCCACAGACCGCGCGAGAGGAATCGATGAAAGCTACAAGATCAGCGACAAGGCTGCCACTGGTTGGCACGGACTCCACTCATACTTCGAAAAGGCTCTTGGTACACCATCGGGTCAAAAGCTTCGCGACTTCTATGCCCAGACCGATAAGCAGGTGCGGGACATCCACACTGAGGCCAGACGCTTAGCAGACCTGAGGAGTGGAAAAACTACCCACGAGGGTGAGGCCCCGGCTGCCGGCGGTGTAGAGGCCTCCGGTGCCGTCCCCGCAGCTGCTGCTCCTGCGGCTCCTACAGCTCCTGCTGCCCCTGCCGAACCTGCTCCTGCGGCGAGCCTGCCTGCTGGAACCGCAGCTCCTGCCGAGCCTAAGGCATGATGAATTAACGATGTACTGAAATTAAACTGGGATGCTGTCTGATTTGTTCTGCCGTTGTTTCCTGTATTCTGGTGTGCGTTTTTGAACAAGCTGTCTGGAACAGGCTTTTGTCAAATAGCTACTATTCTAATCAGTTATTCTTCGAATACCATTGTGCTTAGTACCCAGCTGCAGAATGCCAATGCAACGATCTCCAAAGATAATTATTCAAACATGACTATCAAAACAAAACGAAGTAGACATAGTATATATGAAACTTTTCTTACGCAGCAGAAATACAATAAACCAAACCACCCTACACCCGCCTTCAATGGAGTTAGACTGAAAGATAAATGTTCCTCTGTAGAAAATAATATCTTGCTACCTTAATAGATTGAGTAACCTAAGCAAGCCCCTGCAGATAATTTATCCCAAGTAGTACTTACCGTCCCCAAACCTTATACACGAAAATAACCAAATCGACAAAGGAAAAGTCAAAGGAAGAAAAGAAGAGAAAAGAAGTCAATCTAATCCTTGTATTCACTGAAAAAAGAAACCCATCATGAAAATTACATATATGTAGGAACACCATCACCCATGATAAACCCATTCAAATCAAAAGGTCATCATCCATCCATCAGTCTATATTAATTCCCCGGGCCCTTTGTGAACTTCTTTGCCTCGATATCCTCCAAAGGATGTTTCGGGTTACTCTCAAGTCCATGGAACTTAGTATCCTCCGATGCTCCCTTGGAATCACCATGAATGCCATGCTGGGTGTGTCCCGAAGCAACGGGGTCCTGTTGCTGGGAGCCAGTTTGGCGCTCCGGGGGAGGAGACTGGCGGCCGGAGTTGGGGGCGGACATTTTTGATGATTTGGAGCTTCTTTGTTTCCGAGTGTAGAGAATAGAGGGAGTTGAGCTATGTGTGGAGGTATTCTGGAAGGATTGTAAGGTTAGATCTTGTAGACATTTGGCGGGTTGGGGGGATGCATTGCGTACTGTATTTGGCTTTTGATTCTGTAGGTCGGTAAGAGAAATGGGTGGTTTGTTGATTGGAAGAACAGAATTGGAAGGCGAGGATTTGGTGTTTAAGTAACTGCCACTGTCTTTAGGCGTTGAGATTTATGATGCCAAGTTAGTCGTTGTATCATCATGATGACGTCTGTTCGGTGGTATCTGGTTCCACTGCTGGGTTGGGATGTTAAGAGGTGATGGTGTACACCGATGTTGTAAGTTATTCGATTTTTAGGGTACATTGTCATTGATGTCCTGGGTTTCAACATGGCAGAATATCTTATGCCTTGAAAGGTTTACTACATGAGACTCAGGCCATGAACTTATTGCCGTTTGTACGATATCAGATACTTTACTTGGTAAATGTCTGGATGGAGATTGCGATGGCGTCATACGTCATGTTGTTTGTTCTGTTTGTTTATCGTACCACGTGATCTATGTAACATGCGAGAATCGGCTGAATAAATATTGAATCTGCCCCGGAGATAGTTTCCGGCTTGTTTTTGATATTTCTTTCTTTAAGACTGATTGTCTTGGGTCATCTCCCGAGCATGAAATTCGATGAGTTGTGTCATCTGGATATGGGCATCGGTCAACTGACAGAATTAATTGGGGATATCAGTGTCTGTAAATGCGTGGAGTACAATTGGAATATGAGGCATAGTGAAGAGAAGACTTTTGGGGACATTCGGAGATTCGACAACCGTGATGATTGCGTCAAGGAAAAGGAAATGATCTAAACAACAAAAGAAACAAAAGAAAAAGGCGTTATAGCGTATCCAGCTTGTCGCTCCACTAGACCGGCGACCTGAGATATTTCAAAAGGTGAAAGCTGCTCCAAAACAGACATTCAAACTGGATTAGCATCTTTTATATCGTCATCGGCATCCAACAAAAGTCAACTGGTTCATTTCGTCGACCTGCTGGCTTCTTTTAGTTCTGTTATACTTCTAATTTCCGTTGGTCTGGATCCCCGCCGCAGCAGCTTCTGCGTTGGCAGCAGCCAAAGCCTTGGCATCGGCCTCATGGAAGACAGCTTGTAGCACTTGCTGCTCCTCCGCATTCAGGATCTTCGTCAAGTTCTCATAGAGTTGTGGCTGTTCTTGCTGAAGACCTGTAATACAGTTAGCTAACGTATTTTCGAAGACTCGAGAATGAATGATACATACCCATGAAGACGTGCTTGAATAGGCCATATGGCTCGATCTTGTCCAATGGCGTCTCGAGTAGGCTTTCCTCGTCCAAGTCATCCTCATCATCATCTGCGAAGGAACCGAACTTCTGGGCCTAATTATCCAGTCAGTCAATGAGATTCCATGGCGTTAGTGGATGAGCTAGCTCACCTCTTTATTCAAGAAATCAAGGTATGCGGCGCTCTCATCTTGAACATCGCCCTCGGGACCGGCCTCAGTCTCATCTTGATCGGTCCACTCGATTTCTCCATCCCAGTCGTTATCCTCATCACCCTCGTCATCCTCGTCCTCGAAGGTAAAGTCTGATTCTTTAGTTGCATCTTCGCGGTCTGTGGTAGGGTAAGTATGATATCTCAACTGGACAAGGGAAACAACATACTCTTAAGCGCAGCAGGCAGTGTCTGGAAGAGCCTGGTCACTCCCTGAAGCAACCTAGGCCAACCTTGCTGGACGCTCGCGGGAACATCGCCAGCATTCAATGTCAGAAGCGAGCTAATTGCTGCAATGGAGAGCTTCTTGTCATGGACTCTGCGGAAGTTGTCGATGTTGGAGAACCAGGCACTGAAGAACTTATTCGTCCAGCCCTTAGCCTCCAGAACCTGAAGACTGAGAACAGGGTTATAATAGATAGCGTTAATCACCATCTCAATCAGATGGATGCGGTAGGACTTGGTCTTTGCCTCGTCAGCGTCGAGCACGTGCATTGGCAACTCAATGAACAGAGGAATGTATTGGTCAATGCCGCCGCGCAGGTTCAGCATTACAGTCTCCGCTAGCTTGCATCCACAGATCCGGTCCACACCACCAACCTTCTCATCGCGGAAGATGTCTTCAACCATACTGACAACAGCCGCAAGGTACGCTGGGTTCTGAACCATCATCTGAGAGCCATATGCGACATAGTTGTCAAGAGCGGGCAGCATGTCCTCCAAGTACAATTCAGCGCCCGCTTTAAAGGTCTTGTGAATAAGCTCGAACGCTTGCCACATAGTGGGCGAGATGGACTTTGACGCAAAGGTGCAACTGTCGATAATCTCGAAGATTTCGTTGTAAAGGTCATATAGCTTGTTCTCAAGCGTGATGCTGATCACAGGCATGAGAATAGTTTCGAGATGCAGAAGCACATCAGGGGTGCTCTCCAGAGTGAGAATGAGGGTTCCGATAGTCTGCAAGACACCCAGGGCAGTGATACTTTTATCATCCAAAAAATCGCCATATTCATCGTCGCCCTTCGAGGCGTTTCTTTCCAAAAGTTCACCAACAATACGCATGTATGTGTCACGGAGCTGCTCGCTCAATGCCACAGCGAACGGAGTGAGCTCAGCAGAGAACACTTCAACGAAATCTTCCATAACGTTGGCCAAGGCATCCACATCGACCTCATTGGCCAGTTTGAGAAGCTGCTGCATGATCTGAGGGATGTTCTGCTGCATCGAAGTGCGAATGATATCGTGGCGGATGAGAGGTTGCAAAGCAAGGGCCGCTTCAACCCGGACAGGAAGTTCAGGATCGGTCATCGATTCAAGGATATTGCGATAGATGATCATTAGGTTGTTCGGATCCTGGAAGTCGAGCTGTTCAAACTTCTCCAGAGTATCGCATGCGCGAGCTCTGAGGAAGCCGTGAGGACTGCGGAATTCAGGGAAGACGTGACGGACAAAGAAGTATTCAACCTGATCCGCGATAGGGCTCTTCTTACCAAGGATCACTGAAGCCAACGAACCAATCATCCGCAGGGCACCTTCTTTCTCCCTAGGAAGCTTCTGGTCATCCGGAGCAGCCTCGTACTTGCTAACGACGCCATTGACGAACGTAAGGATCGAGAATGTCTGCTTCTTGCGGTTCTTTGTGAGGGCAACAAGGAAGTTCGTTGCGGCTACATCAGGCGCGGACACCTCCTCGTAGTAGTTCAGCTTACGGTGGAGATACTCGGAGGGGTCGGTCTGGAACAATTCGATGTCTTCGTCGGATTGGCAAAGGATGGGGAAGATAAAATGAGCGACCAAGTTGTCCATGTGTGGCTTGAGGTGGTCCCACATCGCCTTCGGTTTGACACATTCTTCCATGTAGACCAAAGTGTAGGCAAGGGCAGGGTTACTAAGCCACTGGCCCTTAGAAACCCACTTATCGATTTCCTGCAGATATCCCTTGAGAATTTCCGGAGCGAAAGTGGCGATGAAGGTCTTGGCATACTGGGTATAATCAGGCGTGCTCGACTTGGTCATTGTGGTGGGGTTTCCGTATCTATGAAAATTAGGAAGTGCTAATCTCTCTCAACGCAAAATACTCACCTGATAAAGAGACGGTTCAGGTTGGCGTACGACCATTTCTTACACTTCCACCAGTGGTTAAGCTCCCGTTCTTCCTTAGATTCTAACATGGAGTTTGCAGGCGGATCCTTGGCGATAATTCTGAGGAACAGTGTGCACCAGTCAACAGTCGCTTGATTTGTTTGCAGGAACGGTGAGAGCTCAAACTATTTATATTCAGTCAGTTCTGATCCAACGTTCGTCTCCAAAGGCTGGTTCACCCACATAGATGGCATGTTTGTAGGACTTGACGACAATTCGGAGCATTTCAGCAGCCTCCAAACTTTCTTCGTCGACAAGTTTCAAGCCGATATTAAGCAGCTGAGGGAAAGTGTGCTCAACAATCTTATCAAACTCCTCCCTCTTCTCACCAGCCTTGAATCTATACACACGGCAGATGGCCAGCAGACACTGCAAACCAGCATAGACCGAGCTTGCATCGTTGGTGCCTAACAACTGGAGGGTGATATTCAAAAAGCCCGGCCACTGCTCGGGGAAGTCATGCTGGAGGATCTTCTGAAGAAGTGGGACAAGCTGTGCGCGAACGTTCGGGGGTGTTGATACCAAAGCCGGGATCAACCTTTCACGGAAGCCCGGTTTTTCCCCCTCTGGAATCGGTGTGCGCTGTGGGTTTTCTTCGACACAAGACCAGCCACGGGTAATTCGGTTCTTCAAGTAGACACCGGCTACAGAAAATCATTTCCGTGTTAGAATACACTTCGCAGGTGATATGAAGCAAGGACAAGGGCGAAAGGGAGGGGAAAAAATCCGGCTGACAAAAACGTACCCGACAGTTGGACGGCATTATTTTGTTCCCCTTGCAAAATATCCAAAAGCGCATTTATAAAGCCGGGCTGTGTCTCGGCCTACGATATTCGGTAAAATAGTATGAGTATAGGCCAGAATCAAAATCCATCCAAAAGTATTCCACATACATATTTTAAATCTAACTCAGCCTGACGGCGATTATTCGCATTTGGGTCGAGCGTTGACTGTATGCGGTCCCTAAGAGCTGTAACATCCATATCGCACCAACAGCAGCAAACCCCCAGCAAACAGAAATCGTATTCCGAATCAAAAGTGCCCCGTCACGTAGCAAGAGGCCCGGTAGGACAGGGAATGGGGCCGAGAGAGATAAGTCGCGGGGAGATGTTGTAGTAAGAAAGTGCAAAAGTGCACATTGGGTTTGTTGGGTTTGGTTTGGTTTTCTCGTGGATTTTCAAGCGGTGCCGGCCCCGCGCCTATGGCAACTAATCAGAGGGCTCGCCGCCACGCGCGGTAAGAGAATTTTTGCTGCTCCTGAACATTTTGCCCCGGAAAGGAAAGGAAAATTCACAGACTAGCTTTAAGGGCCCAAAGTTCGCATCGGTTTTGCCGGCAGAATGGCTGGATGGCTGGACGCCTTTCAACAATTTTCTCGACTATCTCTATGGTGTATTGATCTATGCAAAGATCCTTGCTAACATGCCTCTTTGTATGAAGAAATGAAAAGGCTCCTTTGAACCTGAATTCCAAACAGATCAACAAACAATCATAAAGTAAAATGAAATGTAATGAAATTAGGACCAACACCCCACGTGGTGATGAACCTTAGTCGAACGTCTTGGTCTAACTACATATACAACGACGCCGCAAAAATCACATCCCTCTTGATCAACTCCTGTGCCTGTTGCATCTTAGTATATAATGACGGATCTCCAACCAGCTTCGCTGCATTCTTCACTTCTCGGCATGTTTCGTCCAGACGAGTTATAGTTCGTACAATGGTACCTTCCATCACATCGGTGAGATCAGTGATCCGGTTGAATGACATCCCTTTAGCCCATTCGTAGACAACTTCCGCCAGACCAAATCGTGGCTGACTGGCAAAGTCATTGCTGTCTTCACTAGACTGAATGACCTGGTATTGGATTTGGAAGTCGTTCACCTTCTCCGAAATCTTAACGATTGCTTCCTTACCCTTCTCCAAGCGCGGTGTCAATGTAGGAACATTCTCGGTCTTTTCCTGGAAGACAAAGGCAGATAGAAGTGCAACAATCTCCTCAGGCTCGTATTCAGCTAAGACGTTCTCGAGGACCAATTCCGTCAAGACAAGCTCATCAGCTGAGTGAATCTAACCAATCTGTTAGTGAAAAGAATACGAACATTTCCATCGAATTACTAAACCTACCTCACATGCTACCTTGCCTTTCAGCTGTACACGAGACTGTTCATCTATGAACCCTAGTTCTCTCAGTACCTGGATACGTTGTTCGTAATCTGGCAAAAGTTGAAGATTTTGATCGGACATCAATTGCTTCAACTGCGAAATGTTCTCTTTGACTTGCCATTCGTCGTGTTGCATCTCGAACTGTTTGATGTAAGCATGTTTTCCTCGCTTTTCAGACATACATGTCCACTTACATGTTTTAAGAAGTCCGGGCATTGTAAGCATTTGCAGGATTCGGCAATTATTGCCTGGGCTTGTCGTTTTTCTAGTATGTCCCTCACCTGCAACTCTTTGATTCGAGTCCAGTCTATCTCGTCCCAAGCGGTGCTCGTCCACGATCCGCAGTATTTATGCAGCTCTTTATCGGCAAACTTGATGGCCTCCTTCTTGATATTGAGATACCACGTTGGACCAGTTAGCTTCACCATGGTATTGGTGAGACATTCCAGATCAGAGAGCGGTATCTTGCAAACTTTCAAGGTCATATCAGCTCCGCGGGTTGGTAGGGTCTGGAACAGATGTCGGAATTTAGGAAGGAAGGGGAGAATATCACTTGGATGACGTCTGCCACCTAGTTTGCCGATTTCGAGAATCTGTACGGTGGGCGTGGGCCCTCCTCCAACCCCTTCTCGGACGATAATACCAGCCGTCCGATATCCATCCTTTCTGTAAACGACTAGCCGCTTGGGCATAAAGAGACGCTTACCGACGGGAGAGGCGAGCAACCCAACATACAGCTCACTTGTTAGTTTTCCGTACTCCATAGCTGCACTATGGCAAGCCACGAGATCAATGTCACAGATATCGCAAGGCTCACGCTTAATCTTAGCCAAGCTGGCTTCCGATAGTTGAACCTGTTTCTCATGCTCTGGAAGCAAAGCCTGCGTGGCATTTTCACTAAAACTGCGCTTGATCATCTCTTCGATCCTCAAAGCCTCAACACGCAAGAGATTCAAAATCATGTTATAAGTGAGCCTGAATTGGGATCGAAGTTTGGTCGGTTCACCGAGGATCATCCGCTTCAAAGCACCGGCAGGAGGCGCTTCATCTTTACCAGTGCTCGTAATGATCACATAGCCGACAGTATCAAGGCCTCTTCGCCCAGCACGGCCGGCCATCTGGGTGTATTCACCTGGGAGCAGGTCTCTGAAGCCTTTACCATCATGTTTACGGAATCCTGAGAAAACCACCGTACGAGTTGGTAGATTCAGTCCCATAGCAAACGTCTCTGTTGCGAAAAGAACCTTAACCAAAGATTTGGCAAACAGGATTTCAACAATCTCTTTCATAATGGGCAGAAGACCTCCATGGTGAACAGCAATTCCTCTGCTTAGCAAGTCGCGAAGGCGAAGTATCTGCGGGAGCGTCCTATCTTCGGGCTTAAGGCGGGTAAGTGACTTTTCGATAAACATGTGCGTAAGACTTTTCTCCGACGCATTACAGAAGTCCTGGTTTGAGAGTGAATCCGCGTTCTCCTCACATCTTTTCTTAGAGAACACGAAAATACAACCGGGGAGCAAATTTTCTTTGCGGAGATGTTGGACAAGTTGTACCCATACAGTCTTATCCTGTGCAGCTGTTGTCCGTCCTCCACCTCTTCCTGTACGAGCAATATTCCCGGTACCCCTATTGGCTGGCTGCCCTCTACCACGCTGAGCACCGCCCCCGCGTTGAGCACCTCCACGCTGCGAATTGCCGCGAGGGCCACCTCTACCAGGAGCTTGACCACGCCCTCTTCCCTGCTGACCGCCTCTCTGAGCTTGGGATTGAGCCTGAGCCTCGGCAGCTTTTTGAGCTTTAATTTTATCTCTGCCAGAGATAACGTTATCTGCTTCTTTCCAACCGCCTTCCAGGAATCGCTTATTTGAGTCGACGATTTTGAATTTATCTTTACCAGCCCACAAATAGTGCTCGAGAGGGACAGGTCGTTTCGCAGTCGAAATAACATAAATATCCTTCTTCTTTGTACGACCCACCCAGGAGGCAAATTCATAAGTGTTAGGGACAGTAGCAGATAGAAGAATCAGGGTGACATGTTCAGGAAGCATGATGATCACTTCTTCCCAAACAACGCCTCTTTCGAGATCATTAACATAATGTACCTCATCAAAGATCACAAACTCGACATCTCTAATCAGATCTGCTCCACGATAAAGCATACTTCGGAGAATTTCAGTGGTCATGATCAGGCAGCTTGCTTCTGGATTGATCTGGACGTCACCCGTAAGGATACCAACATCATCGAATGTAGTCCTAAAATCCCTAAACTTCTGATTGCTGAGAGCCTTGATAGGCGATGTGTAGATAGCCTTGGTCATATGCTTGGCAGCCAAAGCAATGGCATATTCAGCAACAACTGTCTTTCCAGCTGACGTATGTGCCGCGACAAAAACGGAATCACCACTCTCCAAATGGTAGACAGCCTCTTTTTGAAAAGTATCAAGTTCAAACGGCCACTCTCTAGCCATATCCGGCACAAGCTCGCTGAAATTTGGAATGTCTTTGTTAACATCCACAACATGCGCCCATTCCCTACCACCTTTCTTCTGGACACCTGATAACAGAGGAGCACGGGGTTCCAGTGCTGGGAACTCAACGGGCAGTAATGAATCTATGTCCTCCTCATCTCCGCTGAGCTCGTCGTCTTCGATCTTCACTCCTCCAACATCTGAAGCTGTGTCGTCCTTTTCAACGGGGAGGTCAGCTTCCTCCTGCTGGAGGACATGTTCGACTTCTTGATCATTCTCAGCAGCTTCTTTTGACTTTGCTACCTCGAATTTCAGGCCACGACTGAATCCTGGGGCGACTTCTAGGAGGCCACCCTCAGCGCCGAAGTTAATGATCCGGTCAAGGCCAGATTGTTTGCCTCCCGGCCTCGAGCTATCTGCTGTCTGGGCTTCGGATTCCATTTCAGCGATAGCCTCAACACCGTCAAGTCCACCTGGCGCGAAGGGAAAGAATCCAGCGGCGCCCCTAACGAAATCTGCGCGACCAGCTGGTCGACGAAGCAGAGATGTTGAGTTCTTTGCATTTGCACTGGTGGCAGGAACCGTGACTTCATGATAGCCAGTGACACGCCCCTCTAGACCCTCACGGTCGAAACGAACAACAGTTCGTGTTTGGGTCGGTGCGACCTCAAAAAGGTCCTTGTAGTCCGTCGACACGTCCCATCGTCTGCAAAATTGTCAGCGAGTGGAAGGGCCAGAGTGGGGCATCGAATAAAAAGAAGACATATGGCAAGTGGTCTCCCAGACCTTTGTAGACGATTCAGCCATTCAGGGCTAAACTGAGATGATGGAGTCAGGAAGTCAGCCTCCAGCTCTTCAAGAAGATCTTCAGCATTTTGGCGGGCTCTTGGCCGAGGACTCCGGTTCTGATATTGACCACTTTCTTCTTCCGCAATTCGCTCATCAAAAGCCGACCCGCTAAGATCCTGTGCATTCAGGTTTAGCTCAGCGAGAGTGGCAGCGAGAGCTTCTGCCTGCGCCATCGGGGGGTAGAAGTGACTGTCCCAGAAATGCTTATTTGGAGAGCTGGTTAAGGACACCCTATCGATTCGAACAAAGGTTCAAATATTACGTTAGTCACAAAACCGTTGTAACTAACTGCTGTCGTAGAGAAGCAACGTACTGTCACCCGTGCCTGCGAAATTCACCGAGAATGTCCCAGAAGCAGTTAGTTGGCTAAAGGTAGCCAACATTCACAGGTTGAGGTGGGAAGAAAGAAAGGTACTTCATTCGTTGGCGGTGTTTAGCGGCGGAACACAAAAACGCTGACGTCGTGTGGGGACATAAATGGATTTTAGGCCAAATTCATGTCGACCTTCGGACTATATCTCGATCTGGTAGATATATTTAGTATACAATGGTTACAAAGCCCCTACTACCCTCGTTAGTATTTGCTGGCAATTTCTTCTTGTTCAATTTTAGATCTTTTTTTCTCTTCCCCTTCCAAAGTGGGGTACTGTAGGTCGGCCTCAGTGGGTTATACTGCCCACCTCTGCTATGCAATTTCATAGTTAAGGATTTTTCCAATTTTTGAACAAGTTGGCTACCCAGTAACGTCGTACCCTGATATTCTAGAAAGATGTATCCTTTCTAGCTAGAATATTGCCTTGAAATACATGGTAATACGGCATGTATTCGACCAGAAGTGCTACCTAAACAGTAGCTAAAATAATAGCATTGTTTATACCCGTCCCTAGCCCTGTTACACCCATATCAGCGGACGTTGAAAAGCTAGAAAGTATGGGAAATCAGCTCCATTTGGCAGAATGAGATATACGGAGTAACGACTACTCAAGTCCGCATCGGCGAGCTTATTAAGCATGAATGAGATCTCAAGATCATCTTAACAATTTGACAGAGCGTGATTAAGCAGCTAAGTGGTGTACATAGGAAGAGCAAAACCGCTAACAGCAGAATTAACTAGACGAAATAGTAGCAAATCCACTAAGAATACTCTGAATCAACCAGCACGTGTTTTAGTATAATTCCAAGATACATTTCAACGGGCGTAGGGTCATGGTAGAGCAACCCGAGGCAACGACACCTAGCTAGTTACTACTAGTAGATTTAGGTAATTGATCATGCGCGGTCAATGTTATTCCATACTTCGCAATTCAAAGAAAGGTTATATAAGTTTAGTGCTAGTAGTTATTCTTGTGCTGTCCTTTTATCTAACCTAGTAAGATAGAAAAGAAGATAAGAAGACAACGAAAAGAAAAAGAAAAAGAAAAAGACCTCCACTACCGCATGCGTCGAAATTAAAATCGGACTAAATAATTTGAAGATATAAAAAAAAATTGTTCCTAGAAGGGGAATGCTTGGAGTCCGAGTCCGGACTCGACCCCAATTGCTGCTCTCGACCGCATTCCCCGGATCGACCACCAAAAGTCCTGTGTCAAGTCTTACGTCATCCGCCCATGACTCCCGCCGAAAGTCATGATCACACTGAAGGACAAGGTTGTCAAGTAAGAGCGGTGATCTCTTACTTTACTTGGGCTGAGAGCTCAAGCTTAACTACATCGAGCTATCGCTTCCTACCCAACGTTTTAAACATTCTCACAGCAATAACTCGCCAAACCTTTCTCCGATTGCGTTTGTACCACTCCTCTACCTCCACGTTGACGACTCAGCAGCCTTATCCCTTTCAGCTCTACTGCATCCACCTTCCCTGTGGTTCGTCTTGATTGCGCCCTCCGTCATTCTCGCAACGCTGCTACCTAATGGGAATCGATATATCCAACGATGTCACCTTAGTCTAGCCTCGATCTCTAACCATGACTACGGATTCTGCTCTTACGTTGGTCTTACCCCATGCAACGAGTAATGATGTATACCTACGTTCCGCCTCAACTAACGCGCTTCCCTGCTATTCTAGGTACCATTCGACCGAGTCTCTAATCCTTCCGAAAAAGCGACGCTTCTTTCCCTTCAAAATCCCAATTTTGTCAGTATCCTAAACTTAGCGCAACATGGTCGCACGCTTAGTTTGAATTAACAATCAACTAGCCATCCACAACTTCACAATTATATCAGCACCGCCGACCCTGATAGGATTTACGTTGTCGTCGACAGAGTCATATATTCAATTCACATATCATCGCAAAAACGAGAGACCCTAGCTGTTATCCCGTTTGAACCCAGATGTCTTGCCGCGGGCTACGGTTGGATCGCCGTTGGAGGTAATGAGAACGGTGAATGTGCTTTTATCAAGATCTCCGAAAGGGGAGTGCGTGTACGAGAGGACACATCAACTTCTCAACCTTCAGATATTGACAGTGCCTTGCCGATTGATCTTGGCGCGCCTACAAGAATCTCCCAATCCTGGCTTTCTGGCGACCAACCGGATTCAGCACAGGATGCCGACCAAAGGCAACTGCCGGATGTCCAGCTGCATAAATTTGGTGGCGAGATCGTTAACTCCGTGACCATCCACCGGCTACCTGGCGATGGAAAAGGCTTAGCGGATGAAGACATTATCATTCTCAGGTATTGCGGTCACATCCTACTGTCAAACCACTGTCGTGCTGATGAATCCTGCCAGTAATAATGATAGGTCGGTCACCGTTTATTCTCTGACCCGGTCGAAGGTTCTCAAGGTCCTCAATCACCCAGCATGCATGAATTATGCGATCGTCTCTCCAGACTCCACCATCCTGGCTGCTGTTGGTGATGAAACCCGCGCGTATTTCTATGATATCACCCGGGATTTCGATACAACCGTCCTGACAGAAAGTGGCGAAAAGCTTACTGGCTGGAACTGGGACCCTCTCCGCTCCATTGAGATGGATATCGGCACTCGGATCGACGATGGGTGCTGCTTTGCTATTGCATTCTCCCAGTTTAGTCGACTGTGCGCCATTGGGTCTCAATCCGGGGTTATTACCGTGTTTGACGTTAAAACGCTTCGGGATATTACCCACGAACCAGATGAGAAGAGTTCAATAATATGTCATTTCAATTCTTCAAGGCTTTGTTGCAATGGCGGTGCTGTGCGTTGTATGGCTTTTGCGCCCGAACCTTGGGACCTTCTGGTGTGGCTTGAAGACAAGGGTCGGGCTGGAATTGCAGATGTTCGCCAGGGTTTTCTGCGTAGGCAGATCATCCATTTGGACAACGATGATCCCGAGGTAGAGGAAGTTCGTACTGACCCATTATTGGACGATTCGGTGGGCTTGGAACTTGAGATTGATGGTCGATTTAGCCCAGTATCTGGCGCAGATGCAGGACAGCGGACCGCTCTGGGATCGATTAACACCCCGCCAAATGAGTTAGCTGGGGAGACGTCCGACAATCCGCCGTTGCGTGATGCTCTGTTACAGGATCTCACCGACAGGGAGAGGTTGATCGTAGAGTTTCTGAACACAGCTCGGTGGACCTCAAGGCTCGAAGAGGGTTTAACGGAGAGACGAGCCAGGGCTAGTGCTCATCCACATCCTGCACCACGCTTGCGATTCCAAGGTTCCACAGATGTGTCCAATCGCACTTCTCGTCCCACTTCGCCCCTTCGCCATGGAGATTCGCTCCAGGACACTTCGCGAGATGGCACCTCAGCGCAGCCAGGCACCAGCGAGCGCAGACACAATGCTAGACGCCAAGCTTCTGTTATCCTATCCCAAGGCAACTCTGAAACACGCAATAGAACTCCGGAGGCGGGCAGCTCAAACATAGAAACACAACCAAGCATTACACTCAGTTGGACTGCTTCGCCCTCCGAGATACAATCGATCGTATCTGACACTCGTCAGCGTGCTGCCGACTCGTCGAGTGATCAGAGTAGTTCTAGTGGTAACGAAACGGGTGTAGGAAGTCGGAATTATGGGACTTTAGGGCGCCCGTCCGCCACCTTTGACTATTCCGCAGCCCCTGTAGACTCGATACCACGGCCACGGGACCATCAGCGATCCCGTTCCGGGCACAGGCATACTGAAAGACAGGACAACCTGGCTAGTACCCGACACGAACCTTTACGTGTATCGAACACGGAACTGAGAACCAACGTGGCGGCAGAGCGCCTTCGACGACAAAGACAGGTCGTCAACGAAACACATAGTCGAAACCACCCACGCTATCGACAGCAGGTATTAGGCATCGACAACGCCCGCTCTCCTCGCTGGATTAGGAGTATCTTAAACGAGCTTCCAGACCGCAGTTTGGGAGTTGGACAAAGAGATCAAGGGCCAGGGAGTGCTGCTGGAATTGGGTGGGGTGCAGACGGCAGAACATTGTAGGTACCCAGCGTACATTAACGATGACAAAGCTAACTTGCATAGGTACGTCGCGACTGTCGATGGTATATTCGAATACCAGATTAACATTGCAGACCGAAAAACATTCCCCGTTGTCAATTACCGCTAGATCATCACTCTGTTTCAAGGTTTTGTTTCACAGCTGAGCTGTGACTTTTTCATTTTTATATTTGGCGCTGCTTAATGTTGAAATAATATGGCCCGGTACCCTTTCTGAGAAAGGATTCTGATTCCTTCGCGTTCCTTATCATGGCGACAGTCGCAGAAGGATATGATTGACGGTGTTGGTGTTGCAACTTATTGTCATATCCTCTGTTTTCGAGTTTGGGCTTGATATGCGATCTCCCGCATCATCATATCTTGGAGATACCATCTATTTTCACATTCGCTTCTCTCTTTCCTTTCCTCGCCAAGTTTGTTTCCTTCTCTGACTCGGTTAAGGATTCACACTACTCGTCATCTTTAAAGGCGTCCGTTTGTGCATAGTTGATTCAATTGTCTCGTTGCATTGGCTTCCAGGCGTTGGGGAAAGGAAATGGGTCGCAGTATATGCAAGGATGGTTATAGTAGTACGTGAAAAGTTTCCCTGTATTTCTGGATCAGTGCTATGTAAAAATGGGTCAGAATGATTGAAAAACAACATGACCTCTGATTGTAAAGCGGGCAGTAGACCTTTTAATTTGGATGTATACGAAGAAGCAATGGCTGGAAATATTATATGTACTTTTTGCGTGCAA